ACTTCGAAATGGAATAACATAGCAACACATCAGAATTGAACATTTGTTCATAAACTTTAGGTACAGAATAGGCCGCGTTTATGTTATTTTTTGTAAATTTTTACCAATTTTTTTCCATTTTAGTGATAATAATTTATTTTTCTCTTCTAACTTTTAGCATTTTTTTCTTAAAATGTACTAAACAAATCTAAAAACAACAAAAAATCCCCGTATCTCCATTTTTTAAAAAAAATATAAACGTTTTCGCAACCAGTGGGGATACCTTAAGTTGAAAAGAAGGATCAGACTATTGGATGTGGAACCGCATCTTCGGTTAAAATTAACACCCAGGGAACCAAATTATGACGATCTGTCATCTCATCACAAACAATTTCATCTTTCTCATATATCCAGACAGATGTTATTTATAACATAACTTTTATTTATATTTTATTATGAATAATTTTATTTTATGTTAAGTCACAAAAAAGAACAAATAAGAAAATTTTAATTGTTGTTAAAATACATTTTTTTGACGGGGGGTACTTAGCGTAACGAAAATTATAGAAGGGGTACACATGTCAAGTTTGGAAAACGCTGGTTTAGATGATGTGCGGTGAAAATCACGTGACTAAAATGCTCGTAGCTTGAGTGACGTTTTTAATCTACGTACCCAGCGAGTTGACCCACCTCTAAAATAAATTATATGTTGAATCTTGAATGTCTAACAATAACTTCATCACGTGAAACGGACGGAAGATACATCATTCTAAGATTCTTATTTACCTCATTATTATTTAAGGAACACAATCTTTAAAAATATCCTACCTGGCTTGCTTAAAGCATTTCTACAGTCTAAATTCTCTTATTCTAAAACGTGTCTTTCAAATACACGTGAATGGGTATTGCGTCATCCTCATCTGAATGACGAGCGTCACGTAAATCACTATGGTAACAATTCAGATGGTGTTGAGAAGAACCATTTATGCCCACTCAATCCGGGGCACTTTTTAAAGCCTTGTTTCAACTCGGATTTGATCATTATTGTGGTTCAACTAAAAATGGTGGGATGCAGAGGTTTTCTTTTGACTCCAAACAATGATGGCGAATACCGCAAATATATTCTGTAAGATGTACAATATGAAGTTTTTGGATAATATTTTCTGGTTTTCACCGATGGGGGGGATGTATTGCATGAAGCGATCTGTAAGTAAATTTATCTTGTTTTAATTTTTGCAATTTAAATATTTATGTTAATTAACCTTATTGAATTGAGATTTTAGTCGAATGTATTTTATAGTTCTTGACAGTAACTAATTTTTAGGAAAATAATGCGCATCAGACAGTAATATTAAGTTTTTCAGTTTTACCCTGCGTACATTAATAAAATGTAAATTTTTTTATAAAGTATTATTTGATTTTTCTGTGTAAGTGATTGATGCTTTAAGTGTATTTTTCAGAGTTTGCTTTAAGTGCTGTATGAAAATCAATTTCAATGATTAATGTGTTGTTTGATATTAATTTTGTTTTTTGCCGAAATATCTTCGTTATTCTATCTTTTTAAAAGTGCGTTGTCTTTATTTTCAAACATTAGTGGTTCATGTCTCAATAACGTTTAATGGATTACCCAAATGATATTGTATCGTAAATTATTTATTTTCGATGAAATTTAATGGTAAAAATATTTATGTTCCAAAAATTAAATTATTTGTTTATTTAGCAATGTTAAGCAGAAACTGTGAAATCAGCGCTTTAAACATACATTTCGAAATGTGTGTACAATATATTTATATACTTCATACTATTCTATTGCTTTATGAAGTAAACACATTTAAAGATACTCAAGCACGTTTGAAATAGTATAATGTTGAAAATTTAATTTTAATTTTTTTGTGTATGTTTTCATGGAATAAAATAATGCTCATTGTTTTGTTTTAAATAACAACTCTATAATTTCTTTATTAAAAAGGATTTGTGTATTTACAAATATTTGTGTGTATTATTTCTTATTTATTCGAATCGAAGCCGCACTTTTTTTCCTATTTTGATGCTACTGAAAATCGGCTGCAGCTTAGAATTAAAGATGGAAAAATTCGTTAAATAGGAGAAATTAGTTTTGGTTGGTTAGAACAGTGTATAAAATAGCATCGGGCCACTCAAGGAACATTAAGTTATTTCCATTTTCTGCACTGAGGTCTATCTCTCTCGGGTTTATGAGACTTTTTATAGAAATCTCTTTATATTCATTGTTAAATAACTTTGTATTCATTTTTGGTGAAAATGTATTTATTCTGAAGGGCATATTTAAATACAGCTTAATTAAAATTATTAAATCAAAATATAAAATATAAACAATCGACCTCCCCCCCCCCCAACGGACCGCGGTAAAATTATCAAACCTGCGTTGATATAAAGATTGAGAAGCACTGGGTTAGAGCACTTATAGGTTCATGTATGTATTTAACCCTCGCAGCGCATCCCGCGATTTCCACGGGCAACGTTGCGGTAGCAAAACTTGCGCAACCCGCGATTTCCGCGGGTATGCATTTTTTCCGACTGTTTATCTGTGCAACCCGTGCTGTTCCTATTTATGTTTTCATTTTTTTTGTGTGTTCATATTTTTATGATCTAATTCTATATTTTAACATAAAAATTCTTTTACAAAATTTTTTGTACATTTTAACATTAAAATGTAGATTTCATATTTAGATTTGAAATATGTAATTAAACAATATGCAATTTTTTTAACCTACTTTGGTAAAAATAATTCCGCAGCGAGAGAGAGGGTTAAAAAGTTTTAATATTGGTAAAATTAATTATTTACTTCTTATTCGTTCTGATTTAATTTTTAATTTCGTAAATATAGAATGATGGTAAACCTCTTAACACTATTTTTTTTCACAAAAATAGGGTGATGATTTGGAATGTGACTAAAATTCGAATAAATACATTATTTTTTTCATGTTCTATGCTGTAACGGACATGTTTAGAGGTGTAACTCTTCAACATTTAAGGTACAATTATATTTCTTAAAATGTTTACTCTACACTAACGTTGTCAGACTGTTTCCTACGTTATGATTTATTTTAATAGACTGCGATTTAAATAAATCGCCTTTTCAACAAATTTATTTTTAAAAACATTTCCGTATGAAAAATTCCCTAACTTTATGAGCCAATATGTTTTTCTTCGAATTCACTTTTCAAAAGTTTACAATTCTGTTCCTTTGCTAAAACGAATCGAGCGGAAATATTTTGATGCATCTTCTATAACAACAGATCTCAATTAGTCTTTAGAAGATCAGAGTCGTTCGGCTAATGATGTGAAAAAAAAATCGACAAATAATGTCTTCGATGTTCTTCGTATTTGTTGAGCGAACTTTTGTTTTGTTTTCAAGACAGAAACCAAGTTTTAGATATCGTAACCATGGTAACAAATGATTGAGACAGTACACAGGAAGAAGAGCATTTTATTTCAAATAAAGATAAGATACCTTACTTAATGTATAGATCTGAAGAAACTCGTAGTCCAATTGTTTGTAACAGTATTGATTTTTAACTTTGTTATTTTGTATAATATTTTAACTAATTCTGTCCACTTGCTTTTAGATATAATTTTTTTAAATATATTTCATTTTAATCTATACCTGCGATATTTACATGTAATAAGCCTTTTATTATAGTGAATACACTACTCAGTGCTGTTAAATATACCTTGAAAATTTACCAATGTATAGGTGTTTTTTTCTGATAATTGTATTGCTAATGTTTTCCCATAAAAAGCAATTGCTTCAAACGAGACATTGAGTAAGTAAAAAAAAAGGAAAAAATTAGATGCAACTGTTTATTGTTATTAAAACGTTGTCATTGCTTATATTTTTATCTGGTTATTTACAAAAAAAAGCAATTTCATTAAACAACGTTAATTACTGTATATTTTCGAATATAAATCGATCCGTGTACAAACCTTCTTATATATTCTTGTAAAATATACTCAAAATTCGAATCCTGTATATAAGCTTGAACTGGAAAAACACAATCCCTTAATTTTCAAACATGTCGCCATCAGGGGGAAAATGTTTATAAATGGGTGGAATATTTTACCTTCAAATTGTTGTCAAGTACAGCGACAGACACCAAGCGATGATAGTTTTATTTCTGTTAACCTAACTTGTAGTTTAAACTTTTTTCCTCCATTTGTTACTTGTACATCACCTGTTTTTTACCATACTTTCTGCGTAATTTTTTTTGTTTAGCAAAGTTAGTGGGAAGAAAAATTGATATTCTACATGTGATCGTTGATCTAAGTTCTATGTGTTCTGGAAGAAAAATTAGCGGCACGATGATCATACGCAATCTAAAATCTCTATCAGAGAATGTGAACTTAGTGAGTTATTTGGGAATTCCTATTCAGATACTGACTTAGAAGGATTTACATGAATTTTATCTTTCATTGTAAATGTTTCACTCAAAGATTCAAAAGATTAAAATCGCTTGCGTATTTCTAATGAAAATAAAAAATCATTACTACGCAATGATGAACGAAAAATGTGAAATTCCGTTTTCTCCCCGACTGGTGGCCAACCCCCCCCCCCCCCACTTCAAAAAAGTTCCAAAAATTCTTGGAACAAGGAAATATACGGTATCTAACTTTCCTGTAAAAATAGAAAATACTTTAAAAATAAATTAAGATTTTCTTCATTTGTAATAACATAGTACGAGAAATTATGTAAAATCAAGTAATATATATATAAAAAAATTAAGTAAATTCCTACTTGGGTCAACAAAATAATTTATTTTAGTTACTTTTTATTAAATAGTTACTATTAATATAAATATGTATATACATAAGACAGAATCACAATATTAAGTGACAAAATAGAGAAAGCGATTTTCCTTGCAATTTTTCTTTCTATATAGGGTGTTGGACTATTTTTTTAATTTTTCACTGTTTATTCATTAATTAAATTTAATTATTCTAATTAAATGGTATAATAAAAAAAGATCACATTCTCAGAAACTAGTCTAACCCTGGTGGGATACGAAACCACGATCTTCGGATTAGAAGTCCAACGCGCTGTCGATTGCGCTGCAGGGACACAACGAGCGAGTTTCTTTTCTACATGTGCTGTTGGATTATTATTTTTGTTTGTTACTATTTATTCATTTTTTAAATATAATTAATGAATTAATATTTGGAAAGACTATATTAGCATCAATTGTTATCCACTACACGTTTTAAAAAATGTATTTGAACTTGAATAGAAAGTTTTTGAAAACTTGATTGATATATAGAAAGAGAGTGAACTAATAGTAGGAATTGAATAAAGAGTTTTTTGAATTGCTATAAGTCAAATTATTATCTATGCTATTTCAGTTAATTAAAATTATTGAAAAGATTCTTTCTAGATAATTGACTTTTTGTATAATTAAAGTTGCTCTATTTAAATGCATCTCGGTTAAATATTACGTCTTCATAGACGACACGTAGCCAATATTTATTTTTTCATTTTCAAAAATTGCATTTCTTTTAAGTTGCATGTCTCTTTCCATTGATGGAGTTGCCACCATCACGAAGTGATATTCTCTTCACATTCTTTACCACTTTGTATCCATTGAATTAATGGCAGCCAACCCTCCTAACTACCCTACCGCACTTCAAAGAACATGGCAGGCTAACTGCCGGAAATCAATCAGATCGCATCACTGCGGGAACGATCTAAAAATTAACCTTAACTGTATTTTAACGAGAGCTTCTCTCTCCCTATCGTTTGTGTTGACGATAAAGGGGTATCGCCAGGGATGCCTCGAGGGTGGGAGGGCGGAGTGAATGCAGACGATTTGGACGTATATATCCGAAAGTACGTATATATAAACCCTTTTGCTTTGAGAGCGTTGTCCCTAATGAAGTTTAAGACGGGACGCTTATCAAAATTTATAGCTCATTCCGAGTACTTTAATGACACCATTGTTGATTAGGGCTAATCTTAATTGACGCTAAATGAGGGGGTGGATATTTTTTACCCTCCCTACTTACTTCGCTAAGTGGATCAAGGAAGTGAAGAGTTGGTAAAAGAGGGTTGGGGGGTTGATTTTGGCGAGGTGAGTATTTGCAGAAGGCATGATTGTCGTCGCCACCTGTATTTTTTTACCTCATCCATGGCGACCGTGAGGTATTTTTCCCCCTACCCTGGAATCTGAATATTAGTTATTTTTTTTGCTGCGAAGAAAACGATTGGTTCCACCTGACTTTCCAAAGAAAGAAATGTTGCCAATTGTCTTTCTGGGTGAGTTATGACGAGGAAAAAATTAAAGTATTTCGTAAAAGGAAAGATATCTGTAGACGAGTATCAAGAAGCGCTGTAATTATATGCATCTCTAATTGACGTTCATATTTAGAATGAATTTCATTTGGTAATTAATACTCTTTAATTCATTTCGTATTATACGTATTCATAAATATTTAACTAATTATGAAACTAAATGAGTGAAAATAATTTTTTTCTTCTAAATAATTGATATTTATGTATGTGTTAATATTTAATTGTGAATCTAACCGGCTGGGGGGCGTAGTTGGCTTGGGGCTGATTTTGTGCTCCCAAATTTGTGGGTTCGACCCCGGACCAAGTCGGTAGATTTTCATAATGAAGGGAATCGATAGCGTCCATGTCGTATAATTATGCGGCATGTTAAAGATTCTTAGAGTACCTATTTGGCTTGGGTGCTCTCTTCAGAGCTCAGGTGCCTCCCTCTGCGTAGGAAACTGGGTGTCAAAATTACATCACTATGATTGGTATTCCACCTGTAAGGTGCCACATTAAATAGACATACCAGTTTTCGATGAATGTACTGGGTCTTCATTTACCAATCCGCAGTTCCATTGGAAATAAGAAAAACTAGTTGTATATCTAAATCAATCAGGTTTATTCTTAAGAGATTTACATGTAAAATAAATATGAAAGGGTACAAATATTTACTTTAAGGATTTGAATCATGCTTGATTACCTCTTTAAATGCATACATGATTACTTTTTACATATCTTGAAAACTGTTATTTTAAGTAAATATTATAAATTAATTTCTTTACCCGATTCTTTTTTTTATGAAGATGATAAGAATTAGAAAACGCGTTATATGATTCTTTGCAAAAATGAAATTGGCTTAAATTAATAGGCTCAAAATTTTTAATAAATTGAATGTAAACGCAAAAGTATTTCACAATTGTTAATAATTTCTTTGAATTTCTCTTTTATCAGTTTTTAATTATTATAGAATATTAATGACTATACAGCCATTTTTCTTCCACATCTGCTAAATTTTTATTGAAACTACTTCGATCGGTATCGCTTCATACATTAAGTGTACTTTATGATATCAAAGATTATTCAAGTTGTGTGTGTCATTTTAAATATAATTTGATCCAGTAGCCCAGACAAGAATTTTTCAAAGGGGGGGGGGTTGCTGGGTCGGAAGTCCACCACACTCTCCTATCATTCTTCAATACGCCGCTCAACATATTCTATCGATTTTTTTAGATTTTCTGGAACAAAAACAGTAAAGAAATAATTATTGAAAAAATAATTAGCATTAATAATTCAAATTAATTATTAATAACAAATACTTAATTAAATTTTACGTACTATGTACATAGTATTATAATTCATCGAAAAAAATCAAGGACTTTTGGAGGGTCCGTACCCGAGGACTCCCCCGTCTTGTGTGCGCCACTGATTTGATCATATTTAAAAATACAATGCTTATAAAAGTATATGTTAAAGAAAGAATAAGAAGAGATTTGAGAATATTACACTGTTATATTAATATTTTCATTGTTATACTTAGTGTAATTTCATATGTTATTAACGAGATTTCTCTTTTTAAAAAAAGTGTAGTATAAGATTAAAATTCAAAATCATGCATGACTTTTATCAATATTAGTAAATATGATCTCTATGCTTAACTTTTTGTGTACTTATATTTTTTTTAAAAATAACTCATAACTCAAACAAATTTTTTTTTCATATATTGCGATTATTTTATATTTTTTTCTCCTAAAGGTGCCTGAGACGGGACATGGCATGATGGATCATGAGGAAGACGGAGACGTCGCGATCAACTTATCCAAGAACCAGGCGCCAAGATCTGCGGACACTCCTAACGGCAATGCCGAGCCAGAAGATGGAGAACCCCAGGTCAGACATTTTTATCTTTATTTTTTTCATAATCACTTACTTCGTATCAACTATTTCTAATTTCACCCATGGTAGCTTGGAGATTGTCTGATCGATATTCCAGTTCCTACCAAGTGTTAAGTTGAATGTCTTTTTTACTCACACTTGGCCTGACACTTCTAGAAATATCCTTGGCGCTGCCTCTTTCTTCAAACATTTCACACACTCGCAATATTGATTTTGCACCAAGGGGTTGCTTCCATAACAACTTCGAAATTTATTCTGAGTATTAATCAGAGATTTCGTTTCGTGAAACCAAAGCACACGTTGGGCTTTCTCATGAATCAATGCCACTTCGGCAAAATATATATTTTTTACAAATGTTTCCCTTAAGCCACTCTAAAGGAGCATTCCCGTTATATATTGCACAATAAAGACACTAAAGCTGACCTGTCCAATGATACAAAAGTTACATTATATTAAAACGGTTGTTTTATAATCAGCCCAAAACTTTTGGTACTCCCTTTGCATGTTATAATCGAATAGAACCTATAAATATATTCTGTAGCTGAATTTTTTTCATAAATTAAATTGGAGATACTAAGTAACGGGATAAAAAGAAAACGAAGAATACTCTAGAGGTGTTTTTTTCATATAGATTATTAAGTGTAGTATTTATTAAAACCATGTAAAAACACCAGCTTATTATATATTTAAATCCAATGCCTTTTTTTTAAAATCTATATGATGAATAGAGTAGAAACAATCTATGAATCAGTTTGTTAATTGTTCCACCATATTTCTTCTTAACAAAGTTTTCTTTTTTGAGGCTTCTTGCTTATAATATTATGAGTAGATCTTTCTTAGGAGTATTAATTGTTATATTAAATTTCGATTTAGGCTGTTTGAAACGAAAGATTGCTCCGTTTTTGTGTTTATTTCTTCGTTTTAAAGCAATGATTCTGCTTATTTAGGCCAAATTTATTTATTTTTATAAAGTAGGTCTCAAATTTGGAATATGTTTAAAACAGAAATTTATTTTTATTTAGATATTCTGCTTTTAAGTTTATATCTAGATCATGTTTTCTTGTGCTACTAATTTCGATTTTCATGCAAGACGTTTTAAATAGAATTTTCTAGGTGTAAAAGTGTTCTAGATTTGTGTTCTGTTTTTAAACATTAAACGCAGATGGTCTTTAATATATATATGGATGAACTGCAATTTTAATATTATATTAAAAGAATGAAATCTCTTACTTTGTAATGAATTTATCGTGTTTATTCAAAAGTGCAATTATACTATTTATTAGTACTTTCAATTTTGTTTGCTCTAAAAAATAAAAAACAAATTCACCCCCAAAAATCCTTAAAATGGGCTATGAAACATGCCCTTATAGCCTTACAAATTCTTTACAGAGAAAACATCTGTAAAAGTTGTTTCACTGCGGTTTTACAATTATTGCACAAAAGATGTATTAATAAAATCATAAGTACGTATCGAATTCATTTTCGTCAAATTTCCATAAAGAAGTTACGCTTAATTTATCACCATTCCCTCTTTTACCCTACTCTAAATATGAGAGTTGAATAAATTAATTTCAAACACACTTTTCTGCTCAATTTCCCGTATCAAACAGATCATTACTGCCTCTTTACACTCCTTAAAGACAGAAACTTAAAACATTTCCCATTTTTTTTTCTCTGTAAGAGGCAATAAAACCCTCTTCCAAAACCTCTCGCTACGAACACGAAAAGATTAATAGCTAATTAAATAATTACAAGTATGTACGACTTTTGGCTTTTCGACCTCACCATCCTATCGCTTCACTTTTTGGAAAACCCGTTTGAAAGCTCTTCTCGTTCTTTAATATCCACACCTGGAAAAGTATACACACATGTAAAAGACATCCTATATCGTATCGTATGTG